TACATAATCAGTTCAACAGTTATCAATATTGATTACATTCCATGTCCCATTTTAGTAAAGAAAAATCTAACCTATACTATTTCAAGCAACATAGTAGAATAATATAAGAAACTAGTTATCTTCATTACGATCATTTTTAGTTTACTACTTATTCAACTTGTTATTTTCCTGATAATTTATGATCGATTCAATTTTAGTGATTCAGGTCACGAGTATCATGATTATCGGATCTATTAAAATTGTACCATTCTACTAATTGATGTTCATTTCAGTAGAATATTAGTTGGCAGATAATTTACTACTACCTGTTGTTTTAAATTTATTCCTAGTATATCTAATCATAGTTTGTTGTCAATCTATGTAAATGATAATTTCAGCATTGAAAAATATTTCAGTTTATCGTCTATTTTCCTTATTGGTTGAAACCTTTAATGTACAATTCTAATTAAATTATCTATAGAGAAATTAAGAAATAAAGCGAGAAAAGTTGTTAAATGGATCAACTTTTCCACATTTTAGGCGAGCTAACCACAGAAGAGAATATTCATTAAACACAATCCTCTGTTTTATAATGATGTGTAGAGTTGATCATTTCAACGATGTAACAGTAATTTATAAAATAAATATCGATATTGATCCTATGATACAATGGAATGTCCGAGGTTAAAAAGTATCAGATTGTGAAGATCGCTAAAGCTACATCATTCATTCTGTGAGGCTTGGAATCTTCATATTCGATCTTAGGTACATTCATGATAGAATACTGCATATGAGAACTAAGTTAAGGAAAAACAGCTATTGAGTGTTCTTTTGTTTTCAATAGTTCACTAAATTAGGTCAAACAATGATAATTATTTTGTTCAGGTTATTGACTTTTATTCTTTTCATTATAGTTTCTAAAAATTACCTCTTAAATATCTTTATAAAGACGATACCTTACTTGGAGGACTACTAAAACCATTATTAAGAAGGTACAAGTATTTATAAATAGTTGTCTACGCAAGATACTCAACATCAATAGATCGGATACCATCAGCAACAGCCTTCTGTGGGGAGAACAAACTAGCTTCCATCTGAACAGGAAATTAGGAAACGACGATGGAAATGGATAGGACATACATTGAGAAAATCATCAAACTGCATTACGAGGTAAGCCCTAACTTGGAATCCTAAAGGGAAGCAGAAAAGAGGAATGCCAAAGAACATATTACGTCGGGAAATAGAAGCAGATATGAAAAGGATGAATAAAAACTGGAAAGAGCCGGAAGGAATTCTGATGAGCGGCATATGCTCCTCTACAACGAATAACACGCGTAAGCAATTAAGTAAGTTACTATCAATGATAAGTTCATTAGTTCTGTACATCCGATATAGTATAAGTTCATTGAAAGGCTGAATATTTTTGTAATTGCGAGAAATAGATACACGTTCTTTATAAAAAAATCTTTATATGTAGCATAGTTCAAACTAATCGCCTTATTTTCAATAATATCTCCATCTTAGCTTTACCATGTATCATATATCGGAAATGTAGACATTTTAGATTGGGAAGTTTATCATATCACTAAATATGTATTTCCTAAATCTATCTATTTATTAAGTAATGAGATAATTATAAGAAACGCCCATCATATTTCATTTATATTACTAACTATATTCTTAGGATACAAAAAATCAAAATTTCGTTACTAACTTAAATGGTTGTTTGAATTAAACTTACTCTATACATATATATATCTTAATGACTCATCTTAATGCATTATTCTGGTAAAATATCCTCTTTGTTTAATAAAAAAGGAATGCAAGATTATAACATCTTTGCAAATACAATTCTACATATATAATAATTTCATTGTGATACATTATATTAAATATTGAACAGTTTATATAAATAATAATAATAATAATAATTGTTGGGAATATTACTAGTAATGCAAGTAAGTAGCTATTAGGGATCAGTAACTAAGTGGATAATGTGATAGTGTTTGAATAGAACGATACTGGGTTTGAGTTCTAGATTGAACAACAATTCTGAGATGCAGGTACATCTATCTGACGAGACCCAAATAGGATGAAACGCGCTTCCTGTATTCCACTACTAGCTATCTGTAATCTTTGCTTATAAATCTTGTTACTAAATGCTATATCGAGGCATTCCTCACAGGATGTATATATACCAATAAGAGACTGATCAATTGCAATCCTAAACATCAGTGGGAAGATTCAAGTAAACAATATAAAGTGAATTTTATAAACGTTTCTTAATTTTATAAAAGTTCTTTATATTTGAAAATAATATGTTACTGGATTTGTTTAACGTTAACTATGTATAATCGGTTTGCTTAATTACATTCATTATCTAAACTTAAAATATATTCAAAATGAATATTCAGTTCAAATAATAACTACACTATAACAGTTTAGTCTTTAAGAAATAGGTATTTTTTTAAATAAAACAAACCTGCCTTGAATACCGTATTGACTAAGTGTACAAGTGAAAATAGAGTCAGTTTATTGAACAATAGAAACCCAAATACTAAACTGTATGATTGAGAAGGCCCAATTTACAATTTACCAGAAGATATACAAAATGATAATTTCTCTTTTGTGGTTAGATCAAGGCATTATCTGTATAGTCCAACCTTGTGAAGTAATATAGAATGATTGCGAATTCCATAGACACTTCCAATATCGTTTTGTTCCCTAAGTTAGGTAGTTAAATACTGAACCGTTTTATTGTCTTTGTTAACAATATCATCAGTACCGAAACTCACATAGTTTCGAGGAACATGTATACTGAAAATATATTTAATTTAATTTCTCACATGATTACTTATACCTGTTAGTTAAAATAATCTATGACTAACAATCGTACTGTGGTACATACTATTAATGTATGTCGACATAAGTAGTATGCAACATCAGTCAGAAATGTAACACATAGCAACAGAAGGTTGGGAAGATCGAATTCAAGACAGTAGGAACAGTGAGTACTTATAATACCAAGGAAGGGACGATGAAGATTAAAACAATCGATGGAGGATTTGCAAGTGAACTATTTCACATATTAGCAAGGAAATACAATTAGTTGTCCCCATATGTGTTCTCGTTCATGACAATACTTCACTTAATTTTAAATTGTTGAATGTTATGCCTTATTGTAATTTATGTTTCAGCAGATCATATATTACTATTAAAATATGATTAGTTTTGAACTTAGGTGAGACTACAATTATGGACAACCTTTGACCGACGATAGATTGACCTTGAGACTGTCCACCTAATAACCAGGACAAAATGAGGGTTATAAACCTGTGTGAGGAATTATAATCGTGATTCACTGTTGATGACTAAGATCAAGAATCAGATTTAGGGTTTGCATCAGGAACTGACATCAGCTATAATGCCAAAACTCTATTTATCCGAATGAATGAGTGAACTTCGCGCCCAAATCCGTGACCTGTAATCTTATACGTGATTGGTTCGTCCATAATCTAATTTGGAATTAACAGTGTTCAAATTGGTTGATCTAATAAACAGTCAATCAAACCTGTCGATTTATATGAGTGAAGTTTATTCTCCTAAGTTCATCATACTTGTAAACATTAAAACAACTAGATTTTATAGCTTATACTCTATTTTAATATCAGGTCTTTAAACGTCTCCATAATAAAAAAACACAACTAATTAACTAGCTAGTATCAAGTAGACATAGCAGCAATAAAATGCATCCTTTACTCTGGAAAGTCAACTGATGGCAACATGAACAGACTGACTTTTATAAATCCGGTTCATTATCTAGTGGTCTTGTTTTTTATAAATTGCTGTTTCATAATCCAAACATTACCGTAAATTTGTAATGAACGAGAACATAGGCGGAAACAACCAAACGCATTTGAGTAGGAAGTTCCAAAATCTCTTAGTAAAATATGAGAACTATACAGTAAAGTTTTCATTTGCAAGATGTCAACCAATTGTCTCAGACTTGATTGTTCCTTCGTTTCCACATCAATCATTCTCTATTCTCGACCTGTTTCCTTCGATCTTTTTAATCTTCTGCCGCCAGACATTTCATTTTCGATTGATGTTACATACTACTTATATCTGTCGACATCACACCACAAATTCTCTCGATTATTACAATTAAAGAAAGAAGACATTAAGTATTTATTTGGAATATTTTGTTTCCTATTGGTAATTATTGAAATTCTATGATTCTTACACAGAGATGGTATATTTAAGCATTAACTCATTCTTATTCTCTCAATAATGTTAAGTAAGTTATATACAGTAATTAGTCCCCTTTGATAAATTTGGATAATATAGTGATAATAGGAAGGTTCTTGTTAGAAGATCTATGTTGCATACTTCCTATTTCTATTTAATGTCAAACGTTTGAGAAAATGTCATCATACTAAATTATGTTCGTTAATAAGCAAATTATACATACATTGTGTATCATTGTCATGCAATGCTTTGATTTATTAGTTTATTGATAGTATAAACTAATGGTGTTAAAAAGTAAGTTTCAAACGCATCAGGGCATTTACACTTGATAACTTGAGTGAATCGATAGTTACAATGGTGTACAGATTTATTAAGTTTTATAAAAATATTATATGCAAATAGGTTGGATAATAGATCAATCGGTAACGATCAAGCTAGTCACACACACATGCACACACGCATACACACTAACCCTTTCGAATATATAAATACTTTGATATCCATGAGTTTTAATGTATTATCATTTAACAAACTGATGTGTGTTGTCACAGTTATGCTGAAACGACTCGGAGAAAATGTTTCCATGTCAATATTTATTGAGATCTGTCTATTAGAGATTCTCAGATCTTGGTAATTAGGAAGAACTTAACTGTTTGAGATTTAGAACATAGGAACTCCTGAAGTGATTTTACTCAATAAAATAAAAAGAACTCTGACTGAATTTTTGTAAGCTCTTAAGACGTAACTATATTGGCAAAAAATATGTCACTTACCCTGATTACAGGCATCTAATTTCACACCATCACTGACTGATGGTGTAATGAACTGTTCTGTTAAATTTTCACTTAATTCAGGTGATGAATGAGCATCTTTCAATATTTGTAGTTGATTTCCATGCCCATATTCATTATTCATTAAATACCGGTTAAATATATGTACCGTAGCTACATGGTTATCCATCTGATCCTTAGGCACATCTTCAAATGTTCTAAATCTATATTTAATAGAGTATTTTTCAGGTAAATTATCAATATTGCTAGTATTATTCATATTATTGAAGTAATTTAATGGACTAGTATTTCTATACAACTTCCAACTTTTCATTCTATTTAATAATATTTCTTGACGTATAAACGACTGATCAGTTGATGGTGTCCAACTATCTATTGTTGTTGTATCATCAATTCTTGGTGATTTACAATCATTATCATTATTTGGAGGAGTTGATAATTGATCCAATGCAGATAGATTTGAAACAGACTTTTCATTTTCATATAATTCTATGGATCTTAACAAATCTAATTCATTATTATCATTAATTGTATAATTCAAATATTTAGTACAATGTAGATCATCATGACAATGATTATCATGTTGGTTTGAAGAAGAGAATTGTGAAGTATGATATAAATCTTTATTAGAATAATGAAAGTTGACCATATTTTCGTTCAATATCACTGAACACTAAGAATGTCCATTCCATACTATCTTTTGTTTACATATAAATATATATACAATCCGGTTACTATTCTATCATTATAAATCTTTTATTGTATTATCACATTCAATACATTAATGATTGTAATAATTAATTACTTGATATTTTATTTAAGTAATATAATCTTTGTCATTTAAACCAATAGATAATCAACTATTGACTTAGGGTATTCTAATTGATTTCTTATGATTGGTTAATGTTAAAATTACTCAAATAATATTATTAGACAAGAGTTATATACACATACATATATAGGATTACACAACTACAATGTTGAGTAGTATTGTAAACTAGTGTATTATGGGTATTCTTGTTTATATAATACAAAGCTTAAATCAAACGTTAATTTACTGTCTTTAGATATTTTTTTGCAGATTAGGCGTTTACTTGTTTTTATTCTTAGTACGATTCACATAAAAGTATTAGTCAATTCTTATAGCTATAAATGAGTAAGTGGGTGAGTACGTAAGTAATTAAGTAAGTAAGTAAGTAAGTAAGTGAGTGAGTGAGTGAGTGAGTGAGTGAGTGAGTGAGTGAGTGAGTGAGTGAGTGAGTGAGTGAGTGGGCTTATATGTATAGGATTTCATATAAAAAGACACACCCGTAATATCCCACCAACAGTTTTATCATTTTACACTATGGTATTATTTGTCATCTACAAGTTAAAATAGACAATAGAAAACAAAAGGTTCTGTTCATAATTTTATTTAGAAACTAACAAAAAATAACCACAACTTTCAGTGAATGAAAGAATTAAATTTCTAAACTGAGGGTTAACAAAAAGACCAGAAAACAAAAGCGTTTTTTTTGTTGGTGAAACTATAATTTATGTACGACCTTTGAGAGACACTAGACTGACCTTTAGAATGTCCACCTACTTACTAGAGCTAAATAAGGGTTATAAGCCTGTGTGAAGGATAAAGATTATGATTTACAATTTATGGTTAAGGGTAGGATTTAGATTTGGGGTTTTCATCACGAACTGACATCAGCTATAATGCCAAAACTCTATTTAGCCAAATGGATGAGTGAATTTCACACAAAAATTCGAGACCTGTTATCATATACCTGATCGGTTCGTCCACAAATTATAGTCTCGCCGCGTTTTTTAAAGGAATGGAAATTAAAAGAAGAGATTCATCAGTAACTTGTTTCAACATCTAATAGCCGAACCTATGATATGTGTAACTGAATCGATAGGTTAAGTATTCATTTGTAATGAATATGGGGATCATACTGAAAAAGAAAAAAATGTAAGTAATCAGGCAGCATTAGAGTAGTGGATTGTGATCATAATTCGTATGAAGGTCGTGACATTTATCCTGTATATGAAGCCACATGTATCCATTGTTAGTATGCTTCAAATTTAGACAAAAAAATCAGTTACCACTTTTTTCTGGTTTTTCAGCAGTTATAAATTTTGTTGAAAGCTATTATCCAAAGTTAGAAAAAGGTGCTAAGTAACTTGATCATTTGAAATAGAGTACCAGTTAAAACACATACCTTTTTCTGTTCCGAAGCTATTGTAATCTAAACATATTATTTTGCACCTTATTTTCTACTCTAATTCCCAGCTTTGGACATAATTGTATTTTTCTTAATTATTGTACGTTGCGGTCGGGTTATTCACTTATTTATTCATGTACCATTTTACACTAATCTGAATTCAGTGAATCCAGTGAGTTCAATGGTCAGGAAATAGATCGAGTAGTGTTCCAGTTGTCCAGTTGCCCACCAATCAGGTGACAGAATAGTTTTCTTCTCTCTACCCCATCTCGAACTCACGCGTACAAGTCTCAAGGTTAAGCCAATCAGCTTATCGCATCAAGGTCTTAATCTAGATTAGACAAGCATCCTCGGCACCAAAAAGTGGGTAGACAAATCAAGGTCATAACAGTTAGTATGCTTCAAATTTAGACAAAAAAATCAGTTACCACTTTTTTCTGGTTTTTCAGCAGCTATAAATTTTGTTGAAAGCTATTATCCAAAGTTAGAAAAAGGTGCTTAGTAACTTGATCATTTGAAATAGAGTACCAGTTAAAACACATAGGTTAGTCACTTAAAGATAACTATGAAATCAGTCCAAAAGTTGATCTAGCAAACTTCTCATATGGAAAATCACCTCTCAAAGCATGAAAAACGGCGAGGCCATAATTTATGAACGAGCTAATCAGATATAAGATAACAGGTCTTGGATGTTGGCTCAAAATTCATTCATCCATTTAACTAAATAGTGTCTTGACGTAAGATGGTGGTTGGAGGTAGTCAACAGGAAACCCTGGACCTGGGATTCGTGCTATTTGGCAGTCATCAGCAAAGTGTACCTGTAATCTTGAGGGAAATGGTGTTCCCTGATGGATTCGATCCCGTGTCACCCAGCTTCACAGTCAAAAACGTTACCACGTTGCCAGAGTTTCCTGTTGACTACCTCCAGCCACCATCTTACCTCAACATATTGCACGCAATGTCGGGTCACCTAGACTTGTGGCCACATTGTAACTTGATCGATAGCATTCGGTCTGCACTAAGAAGGCCCTGACACACACGACATTGATCACCACCCAGTGATCAATCAGTTGTGAGTGTTTTGACGTTTTAGCTTATGTCAATTCGTGATGAAAACTATAAATCTAATTGCTAACCCTAACCATCAACTGTAAATCATAATTCTAATCTACCACACTGGTTTATAACTCTCATTTAGTCCTCGTTGGTAGGTGGACACTCTCAAGGTCAATTTAGAATCACTAAAAAAGTCGTCCATAAATTATAGTCTCACCCATATTGTGACATGGATGTTCAGTGACCTATTTTTATCAACAGAATGCGATTGGTTTAATGGAAACAATCATTATTATAACCAATTGTACCAATGATCGTTTTATTGTGCCCGTTTGTTTTGCTGTACTAAAGACAGCCATTACGCTCCTCCATTACTCTTCCGTGAACTGTGACCTGGTACACTCGTTCTTCTGCCCACTAATTCCGCTTGTATTCCATTTGGCACGATCTCGGTATTCGTTCGATACCACGAGATCGCCAACAAATAAATCTGGTTACAAACCTTCTTCGCCTTCTGATTTGTCTGGTACGCGCTCTTCTTGTAGTGGTGTTCATAGTCAACCGCGACTCGACGCCACGCTATAATTGGTGGGCCGAATTCTGGAACACGCCTCAAACTCTGGTCAATTCGTCCAAAGAAGTCAATTCGGTGAGTCTATCGTCTATCTATCCACGTCTTTCGCATATTTTCATATTAATTTCTAATATATAATATACTCGACATGAAGGATAGCGACAAAAGTAGTAATAATATCACAGACTCAAACGTACAGGCCATCTATTTTGGACCTGTACCATTTATCTCCCACGACCCAGAGGTTTGGTTTACTGCATTAGAGTCTCAATTCGAGACTCAAAAGCAAAAGTACGCTTTCGCTCTTCAATCTCTACTCGGGGACCACATCGTAGCTGTACGTGAGGTTGTCCTTAATTCAAATGCCCCTAACGCCTACGATCGCCTCAAAGAGGCGATTCTTTGACATTTCCTCCCATCGAGGGAGTAACGACTAAGGACATTGTTAGCACGTCACCCTCTGGGTGATGCTAAACCAAGCCATCACCTCACGCGCCTGCAATATCTCGCAGAACCTACAGCAGCCAACTCCGAAATAGTTAAAGAACTATGGCTCAAGTCATTACCGGCACATATCCAACCAACAGTGACGGCCCTGCTCGAGGACGCACCACTCAACCAGGTAACCCTTATAGCAGGCAAAATACTAGCAAGGACTAGCAATCGAGACAACTATATGGTTGCCTCAACGGCACGTTCGAACGTAGACATGGGCGCTAATCATTCGGTGGCTCCAGATGATAGGGGCGGCTGTAGTCACACACGTCTTAGCTTTCGAGATCGTTGTAACATACCCCAACCCTACGTCCCCCGAACTCGCTCACGTTTCCGTAAAGCCGTCACCACTCGCCCAACCAGGGCATCTTCCAAGCCACGCCGAAAGGCGGCTTCGGAAGCGAGTGAAAGTTGGTGCTGGTTCCATCGGTCCTTCGGGTCTGGCACCTGCCATTGTCGAGCCTCGTGCTCATACAAAGCGGGAAACTCCAAAGCCGGCGAGTAAAAGCGGCCGCACTCACTGGCCCTGCCCCCATGTTGGCCGTTTATTTTGCGTGCACAATTATCGCAAAAACGCTAGGTACCTAGTGGATACAGGTGCCCAAGTTTCTGTTGTACCACTTGGTAGCAGCAAGTCACAAGCTACAATGCTTCGGCTACGCGCTGCAAATGGCTCAGTCATTCCTACCTACGGTACACGACAACTCGCGGTCAACCCGGGCAACTGACGACGGTATCTGTGGACGTTCATCATTGCCGATGTCCCCACAGCCATACTGGGTATTGATTTCCTACAGCACTACGAATCGCTAGTCGATTCACGTAGGCTGCAGCTAATTGATACTTCGTCGAACAGCAAATCCATGGGCTTCAAAGCTCACACAAACGCGTACTGAATCCTAGGCACTTTTTATTCGCGTGACGATAAATTCCACGTTTTACTCGAGAAATTCCCCAGATTAAATAAACCACTCGAGGAGATTTCATCGGTGACCAATCCTGTGGTACACCACATAGTCACTCGCTAACCACCAGTCACGGCAAGATCACGCCGACTGGCATCGGACAAATTAGCCTTCGCTAAACGTGAGTTTGACAATTTACTATCTACTGGTATTATTCGTCCTTCTCACAGTCCCTGGGCCTCTCCTCTTCACATGGTGCGCAAAAAAGATGGGGTTAGCTGGAGACCATGCGGCGACTACCGAGCATTAAACGTGGCTACACGCTTTGATAGCTACCCCATCTCCCACATACACGAAATCACGGCATCGCTCAAGGGCATGATTATATTCCCTAAGATCGATCTGGTACGAGCATATCACTAGATCCCAGTCGCTCTTGAAGATATCGAAAAAAATTCTATCCCGACTCCTTTCGGTCTGTTTGAGTTCCTACGAATGCCATTTGGATTACGGAATGCTGCTCAAACATTCCAAAGGTTTATCGATAGCATAGTACGAGACTTCGATTTTGTTCAC